TTCGGAGTCGGTTTGCGGCTGAGTCAGCAAAGGGCAGTCCTAGCACGGTCAGCAAAGGGAAGTCCCAGTCTTACCTAGTCCAATCGGCGGTACCCAGTCCCAGGGTGCACTTTGTCTAGTCAGCAAGTACCATGAGGGACCGTGTACACCCCAGGCCCAAGGTCCAAGGGCAGCAGATTACGACGATCCGAAGTATAAATAAAGAGGCAGCATCAAGTCATTCATTCATTCTGCCTGTGATCCGTGCGGAAGCGCTGTCGGTCTGCCTTGTGCTGTGGAGGTCTGCAGGTGCCCGAGGACGAATAGGGCTAAGAGGAGAAAGCCACAGCCTTAGCTGCGAGCTAGCATAAGAGGACGATGGCAGCCATAGCTGCCACGTAGGATAAGGGTAGAGAGTGTGTGTGTGCAGAGTGTGTGCTGTCTCTTATACACATCTAGATGTGTATAAGAGACAGGTGTACACCCCAGGCCCAAGGTCCAAGGGCAGCAGATTACGACGATCCGAAGTATAAATAAAGAGGCAGCATCAAGTCATTCATTCATTCTGCCTGTGATCCGTGCGGAAGCGCTGTCGGTCTGCCTTGTGCTGTGGAGGTCTGCAGGTGCCCGAGGACGAATAGGGCTAAGAGGAGAAAGCCACAGCCTTAGCTGCGAGCTAGCATAAGAGGACGATGGCAGCCATAGCTGCCACGTAGGATAAGGGTAGAGAGTGTGTGTGTGCAGAGTGTGTGAGTGTGTGGGACATTCAGGGTGATCCTAGTGTGTGTGTGTGTGTAAGAATAAATTGCTGGTGGATACAGTTGATCGGGTGGGAATCCTTGTCTGGCGCTGTGCGCCATAGCCAATCAAGACAAGTTCGAATCTGAGCTGTGTTCCTGGCCACGTTTTATCTCTGAGCTTTGTGTGGGTGCCGAGAGCCAAGCTTGGTGGTCATCTGTTTGCATGCACGCTGAGACAAGTCTGATTGCACATGTCAGCCTCTTACCACAATTTCCCCTTAGTTCGCCAGAAGTGTTCTTTCTCAGATATCAGGAGAATCCTGCGTATGTGCTTTCGGCCTGGTTGTCTCATGAATGTGACTTCCAGCATTGCACTGAAATACTCCCATAGTTTGGTCGTCATCTGTTTGCATGCACGCTGAGACAAGTCTGATTGCACCTGTCTCCCTCTTACCACAATTTCCGCTTAGTTTGCAAGAAGTATTCTTTCTCAGATGTCAGGAGATAGGCAATCCTGCATACTATTGCAATATTGCTCGAAGGGTATGTGCTTTCGGCCTGGTTGTCTCATGAACGTGACTTCCAGCATTGCACTGAAATACTCCCATGAGTATAGGTCGCACAAAGTGGCTGATTTTGTATCTATCTCAAATTGCCTGTCTTGGTTATCCCAGGTTAGAACTTGATCCGCAACCTCGTTGGGTTTGAATGACGGCAATGCATCCCACCATGCACTGGCGGAGAGAGAGAGAGAGAGAGAGAGAGAGAGAGAGAGAGAGAGAGAGAGAGAGAGAGAGAGAGAGAGA